GGAAAGGATATTAATTCTAAATTTTCGAAAGTTTCTAACTAGTAGCCTGACCATTGAAGTTAAAAAATATAATTAGGTTGGCCAAGCAAATGTTGCTTGAGCTAGACAATGTTTCCAATATTTTTGGAGATTAATACTCCGTAGTTAATAAAGCAAATGGAGAAAGTTAAGCTTAATTAAATAACAAGCTACAAGTAGTAGCTAACCATTAGGGCACGAAAAAGCTACAAAGTGCAGGCGCAGCTTGAATTTATATGTGACATAACCAGCTAATTTAACTATTAACTTACCATTGAAGATGGTCTAAGGGATTTAGGAGAAATTAACCCAGAGATTTCCATATGTTTTTATATGCTCAAGAACCTCGGCCACACAACTAGGAATTTTGATCAAGAGAAACTAGTAATTTACCAAAACTTGCTTTCCAAAACGCCTTTCATTCTTGAGTTTCCAATCTTGATTATTTTTATTCCTAAACTTCCTATTATGTAAGAAAACTAATACTATAAATTTTCCTTCAACATACACTAACTAATAACTATACACTAACTAGTATTACAAAAATACAATTGAAATCGAGTAATTTGCTCAACTCTAGTTCTAATTGAAGGCAGTCAAAGGCAAAGAAAATGACATGCTACCTCCGTTTCATATTTTCTTTTGCTACTTTAGGGTATTATTTGTGAGGTATAAAATATTCTAAAGTTGCAAAAAATATAAAACGAAGGTAGTATATGTTACTATTTACCTTAAGTGTGAGCATGGGTGTGTTTTGCCCGTGAAATTGCATAGTGAAAGTTCCCTTGGAATCAAGTAGACTAGTACAGTAGCCCAATAGAGCTGTATTGTTTCTATGAGATCCAATTTATATTGAATACAACTTTACAAGTATGTACCAATTGAGATTAATTGAACCAAAAATAATTGCAAACTCAATTGCTCAATTCAATACAATTTTAACCAAAACGATGAGTAATTATACTAGTGTGTCATTTCCAAGAGGAATCAAACTTTGTACATCCCACAGTTGTATTAAATTATCAACTATTAAAGAAGTGTGGTTCTAAATTGAGCCAAAGGATGGATTCGTGGTTCGGTGGCTGTGGTGTGATGGTAATCGAAGAGGTGTTTGCAAATTACGATTGCAACAGTGGTGGTGAAGCCAGCGACGTAATGAAATTCATTCAAAAATTTGTTCTTGTATAGAGCCATAGAGGTGGTTGAGGCAGTTTATTTGGGATCGGGTATATTGGTGACAGCCACAGGTGGTGTCACGTGGTACTAGTATCAAGACAGTGATGGTCGTGTTAGTGTTAGCTACGGTGGATACAATCGCAACCTGTGATTGCTATGGACCACGGTTGTCAATAGCTATGGTGGTGCTGAGTTGCTGACACTGCTGAGGGATTGAGATTAACAAGTCTTTCAGAAGTGCCTATTAAAGATAATTAGATAAATGTGGCCAAATCTCACTAAAAACACGAAAGAAAACGTCCAAAAAATTAAATCAAAATCCTAGATGTTGAAGTTCATATATAAGCATAATATAGCCTACACTTGCATAGACAAGATGCGACACTGTATATGGATTTGCTCCCTACAAATATCATTCCTAAATCTCACGCTTAAAGAAGATATCTACGATTTAACGTCATAAATATTTTGCTATGAATCTTTTCCATGGGTCCCAAGAATCATCCCAATCAATAAATCAACAATCTTGACACTTATTTTTTTTTTTTTAGGATATCTTTTTTTTTTTTAGGGAAATCTTGACACTAAACAATTTATATCATTATGTCGATAAATAATGTAACTATTAACTCCAAAAGATGGCCAACTGATGAGGAAAAAATAAACAAGAAGCCCCGGTTAATCAATTTGTTTATCAAATGGCAAAATGGTAAATAATACAACATAAATGCCCAGTCATCATGGTATTTCTGTAAATATATCATATTATCAACAACAGTAGGACCCATATTTAATAAAAATTTGTTTTTATTTACAATTTTGTCATTTGATAAACAAATTTTGTTTATCATATTGAAAAACTTGTATTTTCTCAAAAATAAATCAAATTCAAATATCAAACAAATTAATGTTGAGACTTTTTTAAAACTTTCATTAAAAGAAAGTGTTACAATTAATATGGGATAGAGGAAGTAAATAAAGTAAAATAAGGACATAATATTCAAATGAACGGACTAGTATTAATTTCCCACTCAAAAAAAAAAAGGTCTTAATATTAAACCTTGTAAACAAAGGGTAATAAACTATTAAACTCCAAGGGAAAAAAAAAAAAAAAAAAAAAAGGGCATTTTTTTAAAAAAATTTCATTAAAATTGTACTAAATCAGAGCCAAGTCAATCAACACAAATCCAGACATCAAGACTTCAATGAGTAAGATAGCTAAAGCCCAGCCCAAGCCCAAGCCCAAATCCAAACATTAAAGTCAAGCACCTTCTACTTATATAGCCTAAAAGTTGAGTCCTATAAGAAATAAGAGCCCATGTACAAGTACTTTATTTGCAATGGTTTTAGTTCCCTATAACCTTGCTCAAAGAATCAAATCACAGAAGTTTAACTCTATTCTACTTTTAAATATGTCATTGTTGTTCATTCTATTCTTTGCGTCACAACACATACCATATATCACTAATTCCCTATGCATACAGGAATCGACTTCCTCCTACTTATTCCCGAGCTAATCAAATTCCTCAGTTGCATGCTGCCTCAGCTAAGTACCAAGCAAAGCATTCAACAGAAAAATAAAGTAATCGTATTCATTTAAAGGGGGTATCTCATGATAAGCTATACCAATCTTATCAACTAGATTAAAATTGTTTTGTTAAACTTGCTATCCTAGAGTCTAGACAGTCATACTAATGATATTAAGATTTTCCTAAACCCCGATTTTTTTGGGAAGGTCTTAATCAGATGAAGAGAATCTTAGTGAAGGGTAGATCTAATATTTCATCTTTCAACAAACAAGTGCCTATTTAGGCTATTTTCTAACAAGAATGGCAGGTAGCAACATTGATTTTTGAAAATCCTGCTGCATGAGACTGACACTCTTTACGTGATGTTAAACTTGGGATGGTTTAGAAAGAGAGCAGCCTCTCCCAAGATCAACAGCAAGATCTAAAAAGGAAGCCATGACATAATGTACCTTATGGCTCAAGTTCAACTAGCATAACCTGCCTATAAGGTTGTCATCTAGAGTTTTGGCAAACGCATACATGCTGTTTCCTCTGGTCTGCAAGACATCAGTTATTCTCTCTGATATATACTCACCTTATCTGTAACTGGCTACGTTTTCCTCTAAAGATATAATTATACACTAGCCGTTTCTTTACTAGCCATAAACTCTATGTCCAGTTGATTGATCTCTTGAGCACAATACTAAATTTATTCTAACTATACAGCCAAGGTTAAAATTTTAAAAGCTACAGCTATATTCCTCATCTAAATGCTGTGATTCAGAACCTGACTTTGCCAATCCTATTTAACTTCCATTCCCATGAAGTATACTTTCAATATGTTATCAGAAATAAAGGTATTCACTCCCAAGGCTATGACACATTGACACTGTCAACACAACGACTCCAAACAAAATAAAAAACTTCAGACCTAAGAGAAAGCAAATAGTTAGTCCCATTGATTACTCAGGCTCTCCTAACTCTGGCATCACCAACAAAAGTATATCTATACTTCCTCATCAACTTCAATGATTCATAACCTAACGCTGCCATTCCAATTTAAATTAACTTCCACCTCCATAAAATAAAATTTCAATTTGTTTTCAGAATAATGGTGTTCACTCCCAAGGCTAAGACACTGCCATCAAAGACCTAAGTGACAGCAAATGGTTAGTCACATTGATCACTCAGCCTGGCATCACCAACAAAAGTGTATCTATACTTCCTCATCTAACTTCAGTGATTCAGAACCTAACTTTGCCATTTCAATTTAACTTCCACTTTCATGAAGTACAAAGTCAGTGCGTTTCAGTAACATAATGACATTCACTCCCAAGGCTACAACACTGCCAACACAATGATTCCATTTCCAAACTTTAAAAAAAAAAAAAAAAAAAAAAAAAAAAAAAAAAAAAAAAAAGACCTAAAAGACAGCCAGCAAATGATTAGTCAAATTGATCACTCAGACTCCTAACTTTGTCATCACCGACTAAAGGATATCTATACTTCCTCATCTAAGTTCCTAGTTTCAGAACCAGACATCGCCATTCCAATTTAACTTCCACTTTCATGAAGTAGAATTTCATTGAAGTATTTTCATAATATTATGGTGTTCACTCCCAAGGATGCAACACAGCCCACACAATGATTCCAAACAAAATAAAGAAACTTCATCAAACACCTAAGAGACAACAAATGATTAGTCCAGATTGGTCACTCACGCCAGGCCTAACTCTGGCATCACCAACAAAAGTATATCAATACTCCAACATGCATAAGGAAACAACAATTTTCACAAATCTTAGCTCCTTTTATTTTAAATTTATAAAAAACAAAAAAATTTAAAAAAATGAAATTTAAAAAAAAAAAAATGATCACTCTTGAAGCATTTGTCAAAAACACATGCTGCTTTGGCCCTGAACTACCAGATATTCTATCGTACATATATGACTCAGGATTATTCAAAGTCAAAAGAAAACCCAATCTAATGCACATATGAATCCAAATGAGTATCGACCAAGTTTTCAATGTATTGGCAAACAGATTATACAGTCCTTCACATTAGGCTTCAAAAACATGACCATTTGCCAATTGAGTTGAGCATTTGCCATTTTCAACTTTAGAGTACAGCTGACAAACTCGCTTGTTTTACTAACTTAGCCTCCACTTGGGTTAAGTGGGCAACAACTTACCCATTCAAATCAAAGGATTGAGCATTGAGCAACCCTAGACTTTGCTCTCAAAAGAATAACATACTTCTTAACCACATCATATTAGCAATCACAGAGGGCAACAAAATAAATCTACAACACCACATGATCTTTTTATACTTGTGCAGTTGTGCTATATTTACAACTTAGCCACATCATACAAGCAAATCATAGAGGGCAGCAAGAAAGATACCAACAACGGCACGAAATTCTAAATACTTGCGCCATAATTTACAACATATATACTGTACAATTTTCGAATTTTGATTTTAAATTACAGTTGCTTGAATTTGCACCAGAATGATCCAGCTAAATTTGTTCTGTTGCATTGACTATATGACATTCAATTAGCTCCAATAAAACAATGGAGGCATCCGACACTTATCAAGACACCAACATTCATCAACATCATACATGGAGATCAAAGAAACACATGGAAATCAAGTCTAACCTGTGAATCCCGCGACAAAACTTCATTAGCATCAACATTCAGCCCTTCTTCCATCTCCCTTTCCCTCTTCCTGTACTCATACTCAGCATCATCAGTAGGCAGCTCATGCCGACAAACAGGACAAGTGTTTCGCATTCTCAACCATGGAACTATACAATCCCCATGGTAATAATGCAAGCAAGGAAGCTGCTTCACCACTTCCTCCCCTGAAACTCCATCCTTACATATTGCACAAACCACCTCACCCTCCCCCAAACCTTCACAAGACAATAAAACACTCGGAAGGTTATCAATAACGGAGTCAGCAGCCGGAGGACTTCCCCTCCATTCGTTCATACGCTCCTCCACCTCACCGAGAATTGCCTCGTACATATCCACATTGAAGTCCATATCATAAACCTCTCTATTGAAATTATTAACAGCTAACAAGATTTCCCACTCCAAATCACGAATCGCTTCCTCTACACCGAGTTCTCCCCCCTCATCAGTATCAGATTCAATAGCAATCTCCTGCTGTTCCGCCCTCATTTGATAAGTATCGAACACATTCGATACATCAGTATCCAGCTGAATTGGTGTTTCTTCATCATCATCATCAATAACAATAACATCTTCTTCAACAAAAAACCCATCAAAATTATCATTCACAACACTAACAACATCAGGTTCTGGCTCTTGAATCTCAACATTTTCGCTACGATTTCCATTATTAAACCCCAGATAATCCCAGCAATACGGCGGACGATCAAAATCACTAACCCCACCAAACCCTCGATTCCGATGATCACCATTCTCAGAATCTGAATCAGAATCAGAATCATCAATATTCACAACACGCAAACCCTCAAAACGCTGCGTTTCTTCATTCATTGGAGAAACATGATTAGAACGACAACCAACATCAACAACACCTAACCCTAACCCTAATTCTAAATCAACCCCATTATTATTATCATCACTCAACCCATTAATCCTCTCACCTTCACCCAAATTCCCACAATTCGGGTGACCCGACCCGGTTCCCAACCCCAAATTCAACCCAATTCCAGCATCAGAAATAAACGCGTTCTGAGAAGAACTACGCTGAAACAAGTTCGAATCAAAGCTCACCTGATCATACCGCTGATGATGCTGACGAACATCTTCTTCATCAGGTTCAAAAATCGGGTTCGGGTTGGGGTCCAAATCGCAAGAATCGGGTTCAGAATCTGAGAGAGAAGGAAGCGAAGGATGAGTTGGGCTTTCAAACCCAGCAAAGAACATGGAAGAGAGAGAAGTGAAGGATTGAACTCGCCGGCGTTGGCTATGGTGGGGTTGTTCAGATGGGTCCACTTCCGCCATTGTTGTTAAGCTTGAAAACAGAGAAAAGATTGAATTTTTTTGTGAAAGATGGAATTTTTATCTGAGAAAAACCAAAAAAAATGAATAAAAAATGAGGAGAGAGAAAATACAGTATTGGGAAATGGGAGGAAGAAGGGACACGTGGGTGAGGAAGAAGGAGGAGGAAGAAGAAGGTGGTGAAGTGAGTAGTTGTTATCCGAGTTTCCGGCGGCGGTGCCGTTTGTTTTCGTTTTTCTTTCTTTCTCTCTCTTCTTGTTTTTCTGTTTTTGTTTATTTTTCTTTGGTTTTGACCTTTTTGGTTTGGGTTAAGTGAGGAATAGTAGGAAACGAAAATGACCAAAATGCCCATATGAGATTGTGAGAATGCCTAGTGAGGGTATTTCTGTAAATTACTAATGTATTGTCTAACTAGAGTGAGAACTGAGAAAACCATATTACTACTCCCTCATTTTTTATACTCGTAGTATGAAACGTTATGACTTTTTCTATTGTTCAGCCTTAATTGAGGCTTTAGGACCGGTTCTAATTTACTAAACTAAATTGAAGTTAATTTATTAAGGCAAAAGGTAATGAGCGCCCCTGGAGCGTTAAATAAGAGAATTAAAGTGCAAATATTAGAGTAAAATTAACATTAATTACACCGAACGACGCGTGATTTTGTCATGAATTCCTAACTTAATATCATTTCAACCAATATAATTTATCCTTATCTAACGCCCCGGGGCGCTCGTTAGCAAAATCGATTAAGAAATTAACTTTTTATGAGAGAAAGAAATTAAGAACTGAACTGAACTGATTAGAGCTGAACTGAACTGAACTGATTAGAAGTGAAGAGAATAGGCCATTATATCTAAAAATGGGTATTTATTGGAATTATTTCAATTACGAGTAATAAATTATTAATGTTTTGGGTGTTTTTGTCCCTCGGAAGAGTTACTGCTCGAAGACTGGTTGCTCGCGGCATGTACCTGCAAAACAACAGAGACTCCTGGTGGTGGGAGTTCTGCCTCCGACAGTCAAGTTAGTTCTTGAACGAAAGAGGGACAAAGGTGCGAAAATCTAGGTGGGATCTTCTCGGATTTCGAGATCAGGTATTTCTCTCACTACTAGAAATAGGCTTATCTCTGATGGACTGGTACCGACGGATATGTAATTCCGTCGGAAAACTCAGAAAATCCGTCGGAAAATTTCACAAAATGGGGCATGCTATAATAAAATGTAGATGCCCCCAAAATGGGGAAATCTCCCTATTTACAGGGTCATCGGGAAAGGTGCCCTTGATTAGGTCATTCTGACCTAACCCTGCTGGCTTGCGCCGAATTACAACTTTCTCGGGATTTGGGCCCTTGAGGGCCGCTTTTTTCTCCTGAGTTCTAGGATGGACACATGTCAACTAGAGATTGGTCCAATTCCGACCAATCAAATTATGACACATGTCAAGACATGGTTGGCCCACGTGGCATTAGTAAAATTACCCAAAACAATTAGTATTTAATTGTTAAGTTTTTTTTTATTTGATAATTAAAGATGTTGATTTAAGATTCATAGCATAATAGGCTCATTTTTTTAATTACTATTTATGTAAATCACATGTGAAGAATATGTGATGGAGTAAGGAGTGATAAAAAAAATAAAATAAAAAAATAAAAATAAAAAAAAGATCAAATTCATAAAATTTTATTGGTACTAACAAAGTTGTTAAACTTCAGCTTACTTTGTACAAAACTATTATTATTTTTATTTTATTTTTTTTGACAAGAAAAAAAAACATTAATAAAAGATAGCCAAACTGCGTGCATTTACAAATAATTTCTAAGAAATCTAAAATTCAAACACAAATACATGTCACCTTAGAACTAGTATCATCGCAGATTCGATCACCGATCGCTGTAATAAAAAAAGCAATATAATATGTGAGTTAACACTAACTCAGCTTGAAATCCACGAAAGTATAGTTGATTGAATGATAATACTCGTATAGTCTTCTAGATTTTGGAGATTATGAAATAAATTAAAGTTAATCCTTGCCAAACGAACAAACAAATAAATTAAAGTTAATAGAATATATAATCACCATCTTAAGGATCACATCAATTTATTGAAAGCAATTAAAAAGTTTTTGGGGCTTACCACCGTTAAAAATACCGATGGAAGCCCCTACCATGATTCACAATTGAGATAAGGAAGTAAAGGGTGAATATAGTGTATATTTACAAACTTACCCCTTAATAAATTTATAAAATTATCACAATTAGGAATTGGACAACCCTTGTTTTTTTTTAAAACAAACCCTTTTTTAGACTACGTCAACCTATTTTCTTCCCCTAAAAAGGTCATTTTTTTTGGGTCGGTAAGGTGGATGGGTTATATCGGGCCGGAACTGCTCACAGGTACTTCTGACCCAAATTAGCACAAATTTTTGGTTGAGGTCGGGCTCGGTCAGCGCTGGCTGAGGTCACGCTAAAAAATGAACATTTAATAAAAAAAAAGGAACATTTACTAGAAAAAATGTACATTTATTTATGAACATTGCATTATATAAAAATGAAAATTTACAATTTAGAGTAAAATAAAGACTATGAAATTGAAAAAAAAAATGTATAGTACATATAATACTCTGTATTATATAATTGAACATTTTTGTTGTAAATAAAAATTAACATATGAAGTTATTGCTTATTAGTCAACAATTTTTTAAGCTTCAAGTTAAATACCTTGATTTGTTCAACTCTCTTAAATGGATATCTTGCAATTGAGCTATGTAATTTAATACCAATTAAATGAATCAACAATATGTAATTTAATAATGAACAAACTGTTAAGTGAACCTCATTTTATTATAAAAACGAACAATTTATACAACTAAACAAACACAAAAAATTTGTATTCATTAAAGAATAAAATGAGCATTTAATTTAATAAGAATTATTTAAATTGTGCAACACATGAGTCTACTCTAGTTATTACAAATTTATCAAGACCCCATTTAATGTATTTTTTCACGTATAAATTATTATATATTTAATGACAAAATTTAGTCAAATCCGACATTCAAATCAGATCAAATTAAACCAGAGCAGATTAGATAAATTTAATGAAATTTTCACAATATGCTACCAGCGAAAGCACCCTGCTTCACATTTACTACCGCTTTAATTTTTTATTTTATTTTACTACCACATATATCAGAGTTTGTTAAAAATCACTACCACTTAACGGAATCCGTTAAGGTTCATTTAAATAAGGCCCAATCTTTCATTGAATAATAATTTAATTTAATAAAAAAAATTAAAAAACCAAAACCCCCAGCCACCGAAACCACCAAACATCCACCTTCCCCCCCTTCCGACGCCCCCTGACGCCGGCGAACCCTAGACCACCAACAACAACACCACTGTACCCCCAAACCCGACAACTCCCCATACCACCACCACGACACCACCCTAACCCCCAAACCCAGACCACCACCACCGAAAGCCTTATACCCAGAACACCACCACGCACAACACCAACAAAGAAAATCGCGACCAAACCACGGCAACAGTGGGCAAACGCGACCAACCACCGTCACCAAACGCGTCCATTCGCGGCAGCAACAATGGCAATTGCGGCCAATCGCAACAACCACCCTAAAACACTGGGAAATCAGAGGAAAGAGAGGGTTGTGGGGTCGTCTACGGCGGTTTAAGGGTGGCAATTGCGGCAATCGCAACCAACAACACCCTAAAACCGAAACCCTAAAACCCGTTTAGGGCGGTTTTAAGGGTGGTGTTTAGGTTCAGGGTCGTTTTTGGGTGAAGGAGAGGGGGGCATGGGAACGGGGCTGGGAATCGGGGCTACTGGTGGAGTTCGCGGCGGAAAGGAGCTATTGCAAACTGGTGGAGTTCGCGGTGGAAAGGAGCTATTGCCTGCTGGTGAAGTTCGCGGCTACCGTGGGCTTCTTTGGGCGCCGACGTCGATGGGAAATGGAGGTTGGATGGTGCCAATGAGGGTGGTTGAAGATGGAGTGGTGGCGGTGAGGTGGTTGGACGGTGGTTGGGCTCCATTAACGGGAATAGTAACGACATCAGGCAAATGGTAGTGATATCTGAAATTTTAGATTTGGGTGGTAGTAAAATAAAATCTTATATATATATATATATATATATATATATATATATATATATATATATATATATATATATATATATATATATATATACAGGAGAGTTTTTCCCAAGTTTTTAGAGAGCTACGTAGGAATTAATTTTCTTAGCGCGCCATGTAGGATTATAAATTTAAGTAGTAGCCAATTAGATAAAAGATTATTAATTTCTTTTACATTTAAATAATTCAAATGCCACATAATCAAAATTGGTGAATGAGATTTTAAATTTTAAATTAATTAAATACAAAATTTTATCTTTTGATATTAGGAATTTTATCTAATATTCTAAAACTAATATAATACTCCCTCCGTTTCATAATGTTAGTCCCATATAGAATCAATCACATAAAATATGAAAACAAATATATTTGGAATCTAACATTAAAGTACAACAGATTTCATAATTAGTTTACCTTATTTAACTTTTTTTTTTTTTTTTTTTCATTAGGAAAGCACAAGTCATAATTGCATAATTTAAGGTAAAAATTTCCCTACTTAGAGTCATGTCATCAATCCACAATCAATTAAAGTAAAAAAAAATCAAGTCATAAATGAAATATATTCAATATGGATAGTACTTTTTGAAACGCCCAAAATAATATATGAGACTAACATTATGAAACAGAGGGAGTAACAATTTTAATCCCATAAATATGAAATATATTTTTTTAAAAAAAAATACTAACAAACCGAGTAAAAAGTTATAGCAGTAGTAAATGTGAAGCATGGTGTTTTCGCTAGTAGCAAATCTGAAAGTTTCCTAAATTTAAATACGCAAAAATGAAATGAATCAAACAAGCCTCAAGATACATTGCAAATGTTGAAGCTTGGGAGCTGCTCTTATGGCGTCCGAAGCCTCTGCTTCTTCCTGCGCCATCCATTGCTGTACTCAACAACAACCTCTCTAACCAATCAAGGTAACCCTTCCTCTTCTTCTTCTTGTTCATTCTCTACCTCATTAGCGAATTTCTTAGTTGATAATCTGGGTTTCTCCAATCAACAATCTCTCTTCATTTCCGCTAAGTTCAAATCACGGAGAGTGGGAGAGACCAACAAGGCTATTGATTTCAATTTCTTTGAAAAAGTTGATTCTGTTATTCAATTCTTCAAACAACTTGGATTTCAGCAATCTCATATTCAGAAAATCATTATTTATGAACCCCGGATTTTATTTTCTAGGGTTGATAAAACCCTAAAACCTAAAACCTAAAATTCAGCTCTTTTATGACCTGGGTATGTCTGATTCTGATCTAGTTCAAACTATTGTTAGAAATCCTCTGTTATTGCGCCACCGTTTGGGTACTGCAATTCATGCTCTTAAGACTGTTTTGGGTAGTGATGAGAATGTTGTTAGAATTCTCAAGAAATCGAATCGGCATTTTCATTGCGCTGCTAATTGTTTTATTCCCAATGTTGAATTATTGCAAAAAGTATTGTGGCATTTCCAGTGAAACCATCCAGAAACACATTCTTCGGCATCCTAATACTTTTATATTGAAATCTGATTTCCTTCGAGATATCTTAATTAAGGTTGAATTGCAGTTAGGGATTCCTCCAGATTCTTCGATGTTCTTGTATGCTGTTAATATACTACATTGCTGTAGTGAGAAGAATGTCAAGGATAAATGCCAAGTATTTAAGAGTTTTGGATGGACTCAGCCTGATATCATGAAATTGATCAGGCTAAATCCTATGTGTTTCACTAGTTCAGAGGCGAGGATCAAGGAAAGACTAGGCTGTCTGATGAACCAAATGGGTTACAAGCCCAACTATTTAGCAATGCATCCTATATTATTCATGTGTAGCATGGAGAAGAGATTATTGCCAAGACATCGAGTCTTACAGATTTTGAAGGAGAAAGGGCTTTTAAGGGAGGATTATCTTCTTACTTCTGCTATTTGCTTGTCCGAGTCTGTGTTCTTGAAAAGGTTTGTTCTGCCATTTGAGGAAGTCCATCAAGTTTATGCTCAACTCACAGGTTCTACAGTGGAGTCGTTCAATAAAGTTGTTAAATCCTAATGCTGCTTCATTTTAGTCAGTGCATAAGGTATTAGGCAATGTTAATGTTGTTATTTTCATCAAAACGATTTTCTATATTCTCCAACTTTAATGCCCCTTTAAATGAACCAGAAAAGGTTGTAGCACTTGTACGTCAATGTGATTGGGAAGGTTTCATTGCAATGCCATTACTTTGTTGCTTTGCATTGAGTAATACTTAAGTTTAATGATCTTTTTTTTATTAAAAAATACCGGGGATTTAGTGATTGTTTTCATTATGGTTTGGACTCAGGAACTCATGTACGTAGTATTTGGTTTGGACTTGGGAACTCATTAATAATACGAGGTACAGATCTGATATCTCTTGTTTTCTGTTTTCTTTTCACTACTAGTTGTGAAGTGCTATGATGTTACCAGAAATAGTAGATTTCTTATAGAATCTAGTTACTTTTGTGTGACTTAAATGCAATTCAAATATTGAGTATTGGCTTAGCAAATCTTGGAACCGCAGACAATGAAATTTATACTTCTGTTCTCTTTCTAGTGAATGCACCTTGTGACTTGATGCTAATATTGAAGTAATACATGGCCTTTATAGTGGTTGTAATTGCTAAGTCTGGTTGGGAGTTAAGTTTGAGATACGTCTTGATCTTTGATCATGTCAGTGATGTATTGTTGCCGGGGGATAGAAATTTCAAATTGTTTGCTTAGATGTATGCTTCTATAATACTACAAGTATTGTTAAGCAAAACATTGATGTCAGGTCAGCAATCCGCATATTTCTGCTTTATGACTACCATACCAGTGTCAGCTCATGACTTTTACAGTTCCTATCTGCAAAATTTCTATTATAAGCTTGGGAGCAGAGGCGTGTTTGATTGTGGACTGGATTTTAATTGGCTAAGCGCACCAACTTGAGTATCGTGTTTTACGAAGGTGGCCTGCCTGTTTGCCTCTGAAAATTCTAAGGATCACCTTGCCTCACTCTTAAACACGGGATTTGGTGCTGCAGTTCTGATTTTCATCACAGCCACAAAGACTCATAATCTCGATTGTGATGTTTTCTTTTTCTGAGCCAAAGCATTTCCTGCATCTGAAGTTGATAATACAGACGCCTAGCTGAAGTGGTAGACTTAAAATGCTAATTTGTAATAAGCCAGAGTATGTTTGATGACCAATATGGACTTTACCGTTATTTTCACGAAAAATAAGTAACGCTGACTCTTAACTCATGTTGGTGCTTACCAATGAAATCGAGCTTTGTATTGGTCATCTCTACTGGTGCTTATCAGGGTAGCTCTCCGAAAGCTTGTTATTGATACTATGAAAGTGTGAAGCTAGTGATGAGAAGAAAAAGAGAAGCTTATAGTTGAAATGAACTTTGCTCTTTATTTTTGAAAATCATACAACATGAAAATAAATATTTATTTTATAATAATGAACATATTTGCATGAAAATGAACATTTGATTATTGTGAAAACAAAATTATTTTAAAATACGTTCAATTAGAAAATGTTCATTTTTGTTACTCGTATATTAAATGTTCAATTGTGATGGCGAACTCAGGTAGTGTATTGCCGAATTAGCAAGCTAGGAACGCAAGAGTGAGGGAAAGAATAAGGAAATCCCTACCTAAAAAGCCCAAAGTGTCTATAGTAGAGTTTGATTCGTAACACAAACTTTACCGTAAGACAAAAGTTAAAAGTAAACATAACTTTCATTACAAAGTACAAACTTCACTCCGTATTGCAATTGTCCAAAACCCTACACAAACCAAAAGCCCAACTAAAAGCGCGCGCAATCTTCCCGCTTTCTTTGACTGTCATTATATACTTAACCCTTCCCTTTCTTCATCCCCTGCTTCGCAAATCGTAATTAGTGAACTAATTGCTTTTTTCTCTTTATAATTCAGGTAATTTTCTTTCATACTTTGTTCCTAATTTTTTAATTTAATTTCATTTCATATGCATTTTTTTGTTACTACGATTATCTGTTTAAAGTTCACGAATGTTAACATAATTATGTGTAATTGTATTTTGGTGGTAGACGATAACTCCTGCATTATTTACCATGTCCGGCGCTCCAATTTCCAATAGAAAGCGACGTCGGAGTATTCCATCGGAACAAGTTCATGGCAATACTTTAGGTAAAATTTGGTATTCCCGTTCTTTTTTAGTTGACACGTTTCTTTTGTCGAAGTATTATGTTTGACAATGTATAAGTTGAATTGGCAATATCATCAATTATTTAATTTTAAAATTATAAAAAGTTGATATTTAATTGTGAGTTGGTTATATATTCTTTGTTCTAACTATTAGATTATGATGAAGCCCCATTTTATTTAGAAAAATAAATTAGTAATATATCCAAATCAACATGATATTTTCGTTAATAAATAAATATTTGGGAGTCAACATTTTAGACAAATAAAAAGTTATGGGTTTATTTTTATTCCTGACAGTGCTATTAAATAAACAATTTTTTTGGTTTATGGAGATGATAAACTTGTATTTGAAATAGTGTCAAAAGTCAAAACTTGTCAACTAAAAATATACAAGTGACTAAGTGTGTAAGTTATGAGTATGGTGTTGTATTGATTGATGTTTATCCTTGCTTTGTTTAAGGTGGGGGAAAATATGAGGATTCTGTTTTCATGGAGATGATGTTGTCCGCTATCATAAAACACGGTCTTCCATTGACATTGTTTGAGCAAAGTGGCACTAGAGATGTCTTCGACTATCTAAAGCCGAATGTCAAACACATTAGTACAGATGCAGCCAAGGGAAACTGTATGGAAGTGTATGAAAAGGAGAAAGCCAAGTTTAAACATGATTTGGGGAGTATTTCGGGTAGATTATGTTTGACAATCGATATTTGGGTGGATCCTTGTACTAATGACTACCTTTGCTTGACTGCGAATTATGTGGATTCTAACTGGAAATTGCAAAGCAAATTTCTGAATCTTTTGCGCTTGTCTTTTCCTTGGGATGCATCTAGCCTGCAATCAGCAGTTTACGATGTGTTGTGCAAGTGGGGGATCGAGAAGAAAGTATTTTCTATCACTTTCGATAGTGGAAGGTGTGGTGAGGCAGTACAAGACATGTTAAGGGAGTGTCTTAATGGGAAAGATGGTGCTTTACTTTGCAATGGTGACTATCTTCATGTCTGTTGTGGGGCTCGTTTCATGGATCATATGGGCGAAGAGTGTTTCAAGCTGATTAATAGCCCTATAAGTAAGATCAGAGAGGGTGTGCATTACATAATGGGTCATGAGAAGAACAGACTCAAGTTTGAAGAAGCTGCATTGCTCATTTTCCAAGGTGAATATGAGCCTTTGTGGTCTGATAGCTACTTGAGATGGAATTCCACTTATTTGTTGCTCGAGAGGGCAGTTAAGTATCGGTATGCCTTTGAACATGTGATGATTGATGACGAGTATACTGATTGGCATTTGACAGTAGAAGAGTGGTCTAGGGTTGAAAAGATGTGTAAGCTTCTGAAGCCTCTTTATGACATAGCAAATCTGTTTTTAGGCACTGAACACCCAACAGCCAATTTATACTTTATAAATGTTATGAAGATTGGTTTGCTCCTTGTGGATGCATTGGAGGATATAGACCTTGAGATAAGTAACTTGGCACGAAGGATGAAGAGTGAATTTGATGTGTACTGGGATTCTTGTCATGAAGTTCTTGCGTTGGCTATAGTATTTGATCCTCGCTACAAACTCAGCTTTGTCAAGTTTTGTTATGGGAAGTTAGACAAGGCAAGTGCAGAGAACAGGTATGAGTGCACCCGTAAACGGCTTGATAGGCTCTTCAAAACTTACAGTGATCAACTGTTTGAATCACACTTGAATGAAATGAAAGATGATATTATCAAGGTATGTAAATTGTATGTATATATATATATATATATATATATATATATACACTAGTCCTACATGTTGTATATTTGTCCTGTTTCATGACATATTTGTTTCAAAGCAGGGGTTTGACATATATTGCAGAACGAAGGAAAGCAACTCAGGTAACTCAAGTCTGAATTTGTACTTGAATGAACAGAATGTTCGCTGCCAGAAACAGATGGATGTTCTCTCTTGGTGGAAGGAAAATGAACCGCATTTTGGACAAGAACTAACTCTTATGGCAAGGGATATATTAAGCACCCCTATTACCTCGTTTCCTAAGGATTCAGTTTTTGGCATGGGCTACAGAGTTAAAGACAGATTGAAAGGTGACTGGTATTCCAAGTGGACAGAAGCACTAATAGCTACTCGAAACTGGTTATACGGATACCCAGGTAAGATGATTTTTTCATCAAATTGATCTTTTAATAGGAGTTTCAAACTGACTTGAATTATGCATGTTTTCAATCTTTTGATTGCTCACTTATTTCAGACTCTTATAATAAAATTCTTTGTTATAATTTTCCTGCTCTTTCAGTTGAACCTGATTACCCTGGAGGACTTATGGGCATTGAGCAGCGATTTTGGCGTACCTCAGATGAGGAAGAGTCAGATTGAAAGTTCCAGTAAAATTGCTACCTTTTAAACTGCTGTACATTCTGACATATTTTAGCTGCAATAATGGGAGTTTTTGTACTGATATATGTGCATGTTTTTGCAATCAGGAAATTAACTGATTCAAAAGTGTTAACAATCTGTGGCTTAGTGTTATATAGGTTTTGATGCTCATTGTTGATCAGAGCTAGTGGTTTTATTATATGCCATGCCCAAACAGCCCAAAGCTACATATTTTTGTTCAGATCTCAATCCTTTATGGCTTTATGCTGTACTACTCGAATCTAACGAGTTTTATCTGCAAAGTCGTGTAAATGGGAAGATAGGTCCATTTGGTTAACTAAATGTGCAAGACTGCAAGTGCAGTTGCAAAATGTTTTTTCATATTATATTTATTTAAAAAACAGACAACGGACATTTTACAGTAGTCATTTGAAAATACAAGTATTAGTCTTATTTCACATGATAGGATGAGTACTCAAGCCATTAATTAGTATATTTCATAACCTGAAGCATATCTTATTAGCTTAACTATATCAGTAGTTAGACACTTTGATGTAACCAAACTGCTTAGGATTATCAGACTGTGTCAAAGTCTTGAGATCATTAACAATCAAACACTTTAACTTCTCCTCATCATAGAAAAAGCCTGCACACTTGCAATCTTTGCTACACTTAGACTTACATTTCCTTTGCGTTATCCCCTCACCTTCTGTGTACAAGCTACTGAAATGCCGAACGCCTACAACCTTGTAGTACTTGGCATTGATCACCCCACCATTGCATTCCAACTTTGGCTGCGCACACTTTTCGCTCCAACCCAAGAGTCCTCTAGGGGAAGGGCAAGCAACACACTGGTTTTTATAACAAACTCCAAAATCACCACATTTTTCCGGCATCTGACATTCAGTTGCTCCTAATTGATCACCCGGCAATGGTTCACCCTCGAAAAGTGTGAACTCCACTTTGAAAATATCCCTATTCAGAGGATCATAACTATAGGTACGTAGTTTACCATCGATGTCTAGTCTAAGGAAGGAGTTTGTGCTATTGTACCATGTTTCGGCTAACAGCTGATTTGAACTAGATATCCAATCAGTGGTTATGTATTGTAGGGCTTGGAATGTGAAATGTGAAACAAAGTTTGTAACCCCTACAATATAACTGAACTCTTTAGAAGGCGTTGTTCCAAAAATCTGATCAATTCTATAGTAAGGAAGTGGTGTTGGATTTTTCAGACTCTTGTAGTACAAGGACACATTGTTGGGTCTCATCTCTAGGGTGTAGTTCCCTTCAAGATCACTCGTAGGCGATGCACGGCTTACGAGCTTAGTAGTTAGCCCAACCTTAAGAGACTGGCCTGTTAATAGTGTATCCGAGGGGTAATCAAAACTTTGCCAGATGAAGTTACCCTTAGCATCGTATAATACCATGTTACCGTTATCAAGCATCTTTATTCCTACCACACCCTTGTTGGCCGTGTTTGTTTGCCAAACAACGCAGTCATCAAAATCGACTAGTACAAGATTGCCATCTTTCCCAAGGTAAAGAGCAGCCCCTTCACCAACGGGAGCATTCCGGTTCGCGGCCCAAACCCATTTAGGTGAGAATCCCATGCCTATACCAAGAGTAAAAGATTTCTGGTCATTAGTGTAAAAGAATAAAGAGAACCTTGGACTGTCTATAGCTACACGTCGAAAAGAGGTATCGAATTCACCCGTGATATCTTCAAAGTCACCTTGATTGACATAGAGGAATATTGAAGGTGGGAAAGATCTAGAAGGTAAAGGAGCCGGAGCAGGGGAAGGAGATGAGGGTTCTTGACAAATCGACGGCGAAATGAGAAAGCAGAGAGATAGGATTAATGAGAAGGAACAAACAAAGGAAGACATGTTCATAAGCATTTGTGTACTCCCTTTGGGTCGACCGGTGCTAATACATACATCCCATTTTATAGGCTTAATTGTCTAACAAAGGGTAGACTTAAATTTACTTAAGAATCACTTCATAATAAGACTAAGATTATTTATTTCCAAGTTGATAATCTTATATGATTATTATACTTCAGATTGAAACAAGTTATAGTTATTCAAGTATGAAAGTCAAAGTTGTATACGTTCAATAGTCCAACATCCCCAGTTATACTCAACTGTATTGAGTTTATCTAAATGACTAGATCCCAAATATGCATGTTAGAGGTATAGTGCAAATGCCGCCTCCAAGGACTTAATTGAAGCACATGGTGATGATGGTGTATTTTCGTGTTTATTCGTCCAGCCTTCCGCAATATTAATGAGCTTACTGAGACTAGACTGCATCATCTATCCGTTTTCGAACAGGAAATGGTGAATGTTGAGACTTATACTCGGCTTCTTGGCTGCTGCAGTCATCACAGTTTTACAAGTTTCGATTTTGTTTTCAATAGCTATTATAGTTGAATAGCTCGTTTACTTCTTACTAGTAACTTGATGGGACTATAAATTCATGTCTTATTCAACACTATGAGTTAGTACACTCGTATAATAATGCAAGATTAAATAAGTAGTATTGATGAGCTTTTAGTATATTTCATACCCTAAAGCAACCTTCTTAATTAGCCTAATAAATTAATTTAATAGTTAGAAACTTTAATGTAACCAAATTGCTTAAGGTTACTAGTTTGTGTCAAAGTTTTAAGATCATAAACAATCAAACACCTTAACTTCTCCTCATCATAGAAAAACCCTGCACACTTGCAATCTTTGCTACACTTAGTCTTACACGCCCTTGGCTTCATAGGCCCCTCGCCTTCGGTATACATGCTACTATAATGCACAACACCCACAACCTTGTAGTACTTAGCATTGATCTCCCCATCACCACATACCAACTTCGGTTGCACGCATTTTTCGGTCCAACCCAAGAGTCCTCTAGGGGAAGGGCAAGCCACACATTGGTTTTTGTAACAAACTCCAAAATCGCCGCATTTTTCAGGCATTTGACATTCAGTTGCTCCTAATTGATCACCCGGCAATGGTTCACCCTCGAATAGAGTAAACTCCACTTTCCATATACCTCCTACCCTATTCAAAGGATCATAACTATAGGCACGTAGTTTACCATCGATGTCTAGTCGAAGGAACGAATACGTGCTATCATACCACGTTTCAGCCAACTGTTGATTTGAACTAGACATCCAATCTGTAGTTACGTATTGTAAGGCTTGAAATTTAAAATTTGAAGCAAAGTTTGTAATTCCTACATAATATGAGAATTCTTTGGAAGGTGTTGATCCATAAATTTGATCAATTCTATAGTAAGGAAGTGGTGTTGGATTTTTCGGACTTTTGTAGTATAAGGACACATTGTTAGGCCTCATCTCTAGGGTGTAGTTCCCCTCCAAATAACTCGTAGTCGATGCACGACTTACGAGCTTAGTAGTTAGCCCGACCTTAAGTGCCTGGCCTGGTAATAGTGTATCCGAGGGATAATCAAAACTTTGCCATATAAATCTATTTTTAGAATCATATAATACCATGTTGCCGTTTTCAAGCATTTTTATTCCTACCACACCCTTGTTGGCCGTGTTGGTTTGCCAAACAAGGCGGTCATCAAAATCGAGTAGTACAAGATTACCGTCTTCCTTAAGGATAATAGCAGCCCCATCGCGAACTGGATCATTCCGGTTCGCAGCCCAAACCCATTTATATGGGTAGCTCATGCCTATACCAAGGGTATATGAATTATCGGAGTTGGTATAAAAGCATAACGAGAAATGTGAACTATCAATTCCTAGTCTTCGAAAGTAAGAGTCGAATTCACCCGAGTATTCTTCAAGGTCACCTTGATTGACATATAGGAATAGTGAAGGTGGGTAAGTTTTAAAGGCTGGAGCTGGAGCTGGAGCCGGAGCCAAGGAAGGAGAAGTAGATAAGGATTCTTGACAAATCGACGGCGAAATGAGGAAGAAAAGAGATAGGATAAAGAATGGGAGGGAATAGATGAAGGCAAACATGTTTTAAAGCATGTATGTTATTTGGATGCATGGATTGTTGAAAATTCATGTATCATTTATAGACTTAATTTTTCAATGTAAGGAAGGGTTGATTTTTTTGAACATCAAGTTGATAATTTTGTATGATTTGAATTTGAGATAGATTATAGCAAGTTGTAAATTGCGTTAAAATTATCAAACTACAATCTGAAGAAAAGCTTCTTAATATTGTTTGATTAATGTTAATTCTAGTAGACTAATTGACTTTAGATCCCAAATAGGCATGTTAATTGTTATTTAAGAGTTAAAGTGTTAATGCCGTAAAGATGTATATTGAAGTCACATGATATATTTACGTTAAGTGATAGAAATGTTGGGACTCATAATCATTTTCTTGCTACCAAGATAAGCTTGGTGTAGTGGTAAGATTGTCACCTTTCAACCTTGACGTTAGGGGTTCAATCCCCACTAGAGACACTTTGAGGGTGGGGATTCCTTATCCTTCCCCCTCACTCTCAAAATGTCTGACCCACAAATACCGGACCAAAAAAACTGTGAGAGTTAAATCAAGTTTTCGGGAAAAAAATTTGAAACAAGTTATCAGGTCAAGTTAAATTATGATAGAACTTTAAGCCCAGTTCAAATTGGGAAAAATAATACACCCCCTTTTTATTAAATAAAGTTCGTATGTTTTGTATATCACAAATGTCTATATCCAATCATTTACTTTAACCAAGGTTAGTCATAGATTATTATTTCATGTTCCAAACTATAGGATATGATTTTTGACATTAATACATATAATAGGTTCTTGATGAACCATTAGTAATCTTCTTAGCCTGACTAAACTATTAGTTAGACAATTGACGTAACCTAAATGGCTAGGATTATCAGTTCTAGTCAAAGTCATGAGATCATAAACAATCCAACATCTCAACTTATCCACATCATAGAAAAATCCCACACACTTTGGATCTTTGCTACACTTAACCTTGCATTTTCTTGGTTTCATAGGACCTTCACCTTCGGTGTACATACAACTGAAATGTCGAACCCTACGCATCTTGTATTACTTAGCATCTGTATCATCACCACTATATCCTCCCACGGTCGGTGGCACGCAATCATCGCTCCATCTCATGAGCCCTCTAGGGGAAGGACAAGCAACACACTCGCCTTTGTA